TATAGTCTTTCCTTATCCCATTCTAATTGTAATATTTTTTCTGTTTTTTTTTTTCTAAACTACCACAAGTGGTCATTTTCGCTATATTTGTATTTGTCTAGGAATGTATTTGCCTTTACTGTGCAAAACTGGTCATGCCATAGGGTGATGCAAAGATGAATCAAAAGCAGATCTTTCCATCAGAGAATGAATAATATGATAGAGTAGATGGGCAGGTTTTGTTAGACTCTCCCTTTTATCTAATTTTAACATTTCAAATTAGGCTCACTGCTATCTTGCTGGCAGCAAATGTCAAGAAAAATGGTCAAGGGACCCAAGAAAAAATTTACCACATCAGATGAATACATTTTACCAACTTCTAGCTTGAGGTTTTCTTCCATGAGAATAGAATCTAACCTTAATGAGGGTAAAGTCTTTATCTGTTTTGCTCACAATTATATTCCTTGACTGGTACCTGGCATGTAGTAGTCACTCAAGAAATATTTGTTGAATTAATGAACACATCAGTGACTCCAAGTAGGAGAGAGAAAAATAATATAAAGGAACTGTCTAAAATTGTATCATGGTATAACTAACAGACATGCAACATGTAAATAGTTGCCAAATAATATGCAAAATATTGTATTAATTTAAAACCAAAGTACATCTCTTTGTAACCTTAACCATTTTTTCTGCCCTGGCTGCATCCGAATTTCTCATTTAAATCTCTTCCTGTCTAGAGCTAGCTACATTGTAGTTTAACCTCATTGGCATGTTTTTTGCTCCTTATATATTAAAATCTTGATTGGCATATATTTTTCTCCTTGTAATATACATATTTAAAAGTGGTTCATGTATAGTTCAGTCTCTGATAAACACTGTGGTCCATCTGGTGAAACTCATACTGTGTTTTCTAATCATAAACAAACTCATCTCTTAATTCACCTATACCTCAATGTCTTCTTAGAATTCATTTATTTAGACTATTCTGTTTCTGCCAATTAAAGTTAACTTACCTCCCACATCCAAAGTAACAGATTTAGTATTTTACCAGTTCTACCCAGCATTTATGACAACCATAACTGGAAGTAAAAAAAACAATGCATGCACCAGAACATTTGTAGATACAATATGTAAGGAAGTTCATATTTGGGGGACTATTCAAGGTGAGCCTTGATATAAGGGAAGATTTATATAGCTAGGATTTGGGGGAAGGGAATTCCAGACAGAACAGTTGTGACCACAGGCAGAACCACAGAAGAAAGTATAATTCAACCTTACAAGTAGATCTGTTTGTGGAGGAGCTCTGAAAAAACTAAGACCATGGAAGACTTGCCTTACTCCATCAATAGATGAATTATTCTGTAGTTAGGGAAGGATTTTGACCAAAACTCTGAGGTGATTACACCTGAGTAAATTTGACATGATAGCAATGACAGCTAATAGAAACTATAGGCAGGGGGCACCTGAGTGGCTCAGTTGGTTAAGTGTCCAACTTCGGTTCAGGTCATGATCTCTCAGTCCGTGGGTTCGAGCCCCACGACCAGCTCTGTGCAGACAGCACAGAACCTGGAGCCTGTTTCGGATTCTGTGTCTCCCTCTCTCTCTGCGCCTCCACCACTCACTCTCTGTCTGTCTGTCTCTCTCTCGCTGTATCTGAAAAATGGATAAACCTTAAAAAAAACTATAGTCAGGGGAGCCAGTTAGAAAGAAGCTGTTGCCAACAGTTAAGTTGAAATGTAACGAGAACTTAAATATGGGCAGTGGTAGCAGAAGGAAAGTTGCCAGATTTGATCTAAGAAAGAGGTGACAGGAGCCAGCAACCATTTGAGAAGAGATGAGTGGCTAATGATGCTGAATTTATAAGCCTGGGAGTATAACTGCAATGAGTAAGAAAATGGAGGAGGAGTAGGTTTAGATAAAGCATAGATGAACTAGTTGATCCAGGACAGAGCCTTGGAAACTATGTGCATTATGGAGTAGTTTGAAAGAACAGTCCTCAGAGAAGCTTTTGGGCAGGTGAGGAGATGGCTAAAGTACAGTATAGTGTCATGAGTGATAAGGAGAATGTTTTAATGAAAATAAGTATTAAGTAGTACAGAGTTTTCTAGGCATCTGAGAACTAATGCAGGATTTGCTAAGTAAGCCTAAAAACAGATGCATTTGAAAAAAGATCTGGTAAAATCCAGAGCCAAGGAAATTAATGTTGAGAAATTAAAGATTGTGTCCAAAAAGCCAAGAAATGGTAAAAATATTTTATATTAAATATTTAAATTACCATATATCTTAAATCAAGTAGTTTGCTAACATATAAATTATATTTATATCTGACAATACAAAGTTATGAACATAAACAGGACGTTAAAAATAAACTCACACACACCAAGATGTAATGCTATAAACAAAATGAGATGCCGTATCTAAAAACAAGATCTAACTGGGAAAAGTTCTTGATAGAACAAGTATTTAATGAAGAAAGAGGATTTTAGAGACCAAATTTTGAAGAAATGTTTTTGTAGAAAGCTGTCTTGTCCTCACCTCACATTCTCCCACCAATATCTGGCAGTGTTGGGGGGGGGGGGATAAAACCAAATCACTTAGAAAGGAGGACCATGGACCAACAGTCATACATTTATAACTGAGAAAAAAAGCCAAATCAGCCTTCATGAATTGTGTGCGTGCGTGCATGCGTGTGTGTGTGTGTGTGTGTGTGTGTGTGTGTGTGTGTGTAGAGAGACAGAAGCAGAGATTGAAGACTGAAAACTAACAATAGCCTCACAGACAGTAAAGCAGGGAATGTAGAAGTGTTTCCCAGGGACTTGATACAGACCTCTCAGGAAAGAAATTTGGTCTAGGATCATTTTAGGTTCTACCCAAGTAGTAATTTTTCTAGTTAAGTGACCCAGATGGCCTTAACATTCCCCTCAGTTTGACTAACTTTAGACAGTCTTCTTTCTGACTCTAGGCCCATTCTGTGATGAAGATTGGAAAAAGCTTATATTTTTTAAGGGGTAAGGTCAATTAGTAAACACAAGTAGTTTGATTTTCCCACCAATGCTTTTAAAAGCTCTACCACTCTTTGTTTCAGAGGAATTAAGGAAAGACTGAATTCTGACCCCTCTCCTTTATTTCAGTAGTCTTGAATAAAGTCTTTGTCTGTTTAACTTTATTTAGTACAACTTTTACTTCGACACCAGTAAGTGGCTGTCAACCGCAGGAGTCTCTGCTAAAGTGAAAAATCAATATGGGACCAAGTTAGAAGCGACAAGCCAAAGGCAGGTCATAGCACAAGTCCTAGGAATTGTAGTTGGCAAAGGAGTTCTAAAGAATGCACACATGCCCATGAGTCATAGGGTTCTCACATTTAAGAACTAAAAATGTAAGACATGGAGTTAAATTTGAATTTCAAATAACAAATAATTCTTCTAGTGTATTTTGTGAAATGTTTCATACATACTTATATTAAAAAAATTACTTGTTGTTTGTCTGAAATTGAAACTGGACTGAGCATGTCGTATTTTATCTGACATTTCTACCACAAGAGAAACCGTCAGTTTTAAACATTTGCTATTCCTAGAGAGTGAGAGCTTGCTTATAACAGCATCAATCACCAATTCCTACAGCTCTCTTTTACTGTGTACTTCTCTCTCCTTTCCACTCTACCTACCCTCCTCCACATTCAAAGCTGAAAGGGTCAGAAATAGCAGCTAGCATGAACGGTAGGTGGTAAGACAAGAAAAAGAACAGAAATCAGCTTCCTTCTGCTCCTCAAGGCAGATAGCAGGTGTCAGGTACCCTCCAGGTATTGGCTGGTGGAAGAGAATAGGGGAAATCCATCTCTGAAGGAAGATTTGAGTGTTTATTGCATTTCCACATTCTATGTATTACACTTGTTCAATGTAAGTCTATAGATCCACATATAGGTAGATGACAATAAAATAAGTACATTTCAAATTTTATGTGCTTCAGTATTTTGAGATTAACCATTTAAAAGATTAATAATTTGGGGAGCCTAAATAACTCTGTCCATTAAGCAACCCACTCTTGATTTCGGCTCAGGTCATGATCTCATCCGTGAGATCCAGTTCATGAGATGCAGTTCATGAGTTCCAGCCCCCTGTCGGGCTCTGCGCTTGACAGTATGGAGCCTGCTTGGGATTCTCTCTCACCCTCTCTCTCTGCCCCTCCCTCACTTGTACTGTCTCTTTCTCTCCCAAAGTAAATAAAATAAACTTTAAAAATTTTTTAAAGATTAATAATTCTAAAAGCATAACTCTAAAAAATTAACCTTACATATTATAGTAGTACCACTTATACAACATCTAAGTATTATTGGAAAGCACTAAATATTAATAAATGTTAATAATGAACTCTTATGTGTGACAATTTCTTTTCTTTTTAAGTTTATTTATTTTTTTAGTAATCTCTACACCAAACATGGAGCTCAAATTCACAACCCCCAAGATAAAGAGTCATATGTTCTCCTAGCTGAACCAGCCAGGCACCCCTGTATGTGGTTCAATAGAGAGATTTTCTATCTATATGTAGAAATATATCTATAGATTTTCTAATCTTTTATGTCACAGATTTTTTAAAACTTTTTTATTGAGGTGTAATTACATCAAATAAAGTTCATTGATCTTAAGTATATAATTTTATGGATAGCCATTCATATCAGAATATTTTAAGAATGTAATGAATACTATTATTTCACATAAGCAAGGACACAGATTTTGTTTCATACAATTCAGGGTGTTTACTGTTAAAGCCCATCCATGAATAACAAGTTAAAATCATTGCTGTAGGTCTTTTCCTCTGGACCAGTGGTTAATTATTTGAGACAATGACTTCACAAATCTATTATATTTATGTATCAGAATTTCTTAATATTGGGTCTAATGTTTGTAAATATCAGCTTTATCTTTTTAAATGAATGCTAACTACAAATACTATGTTCTTATCTACTGGATTAGCAGTAGAATGCCATCAAAATGCACTAAATTTTACTTTTTTTCTTTTAGATGCAGATTTACTTTTTCCATCTTTTAATGGGAATTCCTATCTAGAACTACCTTTTTTTACAACCTTGGATGAGTTCACATGTGTCCCGGAGAAGGAACATAACAGAACTGTTACCATATACTTGACTATAAAGACAAACACTTTGAATGGAACTATTCTTTATAGTGAGTATTAAAATGTTTGACTTCCTATATGTCAGGTTTCTTTCTCAAATGTTAACCTATTGAAGCAATGAATTATTCATTTAAATATCGTGAGAAAACTTTTCTGAGTGCATGACGCATTATCAAAAGAAAATCTTAGTTCTTTCTAGTTTGCTTAAGAAGTTTCTTTAATTTATGAGTAATTCAATGGAACATGACTTACAAACAAGCTCTGAACCAGCAAGGAAGAATATAGCAGGCATATGAATTTGATACCATATGGCTATAGCAGTAAAACATAAATGCTGCAAATGTTTCAGAGCATATTTTTATAATATAAATCACTAAATATGAATTGAATTCAATACTTGGTCATTTGTAAAAAGGCATTACAAAGCTGGGATTCATTTGGCAATTGGGAAGATTCCTGTCACTCTTTTAACATTATCTTAGCTGGTTAGGAAAGAAGTAGTATAATATTAACAGTATTTATTTAAGGAAATGCCTCTATATTCAGGGTTCTGTAATGATGCAATGTGCTCACAGAGATTTCTATAACCAGAATTTGCAGAATTTCTTTTTTCTATGGCTGAAAATCACCAAAGTATATTCCATGTAGTATTTCAAATGTGACAATGTTTTCTTTTTCTTTTGAAATGAAGGTACAGCAGTTTTAACAATTCCCTATATTGGAGGTATAATGTCTTCAGCATATGGATAGATTATCCATTCTAGGGCAACTCATTATTTATAAAAATATTTTCTTCTGTACTTTGAAATATTTTGCAAAAGCGAGTCATCATTTTGTACTTTCCAAGAAAATTAAACCTTTTTATTAATGACTTTGAGTAAAAATGCTTAAAAGAAGCATTTTTTAGAAAACTGGGTGCAATTGGAAGTTTTGAATATTAAAACTGAAAATTTGGGGCACCTGGGTGGCTCAGTCTATTGAGTGTCCAAGTCTTCATTTTGTCTCAGGTCATGATCCCAGGGTCGTGGCATTAAGCCCCATGTCAGGCTCCATGCTGAGTGTAGAGCATTCTTGAGATTCTCTCTCTCCCTCTCTGTCCCTTTCCCCTGCTTGCATTTTATATATATAGGGTGGCACCCCTAAACTAGAAAAAGAATTTAAACCAAAAACTTGTTATATTTTAGAAAGAAACTAATGTCAGAACTGGACCAACATTATCTCCCAGGAGTGTAAGCACCCATGTTAAAATGATGGCTTTAGAATGATTTATTTATAAATATGATTTATTTATGGTTAAAGAGAGAGAAGGAAAAAAAGGAAAAGGAAAATTTGTTTTATATATAAAACCTAAGTTGTGGTAGACAACCATGAAATTTGGAGGTAATATTATATTGCAGGGGAAAAGAAAGAAAACAAAACACAGAACAAAAGACACAAACATAATAATTTAAAGACACAAAGCAAAGTGATTTTCTGGCTTTGCAATTTTTTAAGTTATATAGGATATGAAGGCGTTTTCTTGTAGAGAGTGTGTTTTTACCAACTAAAAACAGCTCATTGCCAAAGAAGCAGCCAGCCTCTGGGAATTCTCTGGGCTCATGCTCCTGGCTCATATCTGTGCTTCCACTCAATGTGCTCTTTTTGAAAGCCATAAAAACACATGCCAAGCATATACACACCCTGTCCAAGTTCATACTTTAATTTAAACCAATAAACTGAAGCTGATGTTAGGGCCATAAGATTATTCTTGCCTTTTATAACCCATGACCTCCAAAAAAAATCAAACTAGAAATTATTACCAAAAACAAAACAAAACAAAAAACACCATGCTATTTTAATGATTATCAATTTCTGTCTTTGTCTTACATAATTGTTGTCCCAAGACTGGATACATCAAAGCTGTTTACTCAAGGGAGTTTCATAACCCGTGAATGGAGAAAATATTTTTTGTCTAGAAAGCATTCTTTTTGTTCATCTGTAGAGTGGTAATTTAATCCTACACTGTTGGGGATACCTCAGCAGAATGTTTCATGGGATTGTTACTTTCAGCCCTCTTCAAATTTATCAACTTCATAAAAGCCTCACAATAGATGAACACGAAGGTTTTTGTGATTCGGTTTAACACCTGTAGTGTAAAAGGTGTCCCTTAACTTGACTTAAGGGCTAATTTTCATTCCTTTGAAGTCAGTATATTACATGTAGGAGCAATTAAGAATAGTGAAGAAATTAAAACAGGTGTTTCACTTTAGAAACTAGGAGCTGATTTTTGTCTTTTGTGTGTTTGTTTTTTAGTTTTGTCATTTTCATTCCTGGACATTTCAGTAAAAACTCCATTCCATTCTACAGACATTTATTGAATACTTGTGTTTTATATCACCCAATTTTAAAGGGAAAAGGATAGAGAAATATCAGGTTGATAAGCCAGTGTCAGCTTTGAATTATATTCCTAGTTCAAAACTGCAGATTTATCTTTTCTCAGTTTGCCTCACCAACTAATTGATGTTGAAAAGGAACAAAAGGAAGATAAAACTGGAATCCTTATGGGGTTACACTAAAATCCTTAGAAAGGATAGTTTAAAAAAGAACTCTCTGTGGGAGAGAGACAGCTCTGAGAACAGCAGTCAAGATGAAAAGAAAGCTTTTTGAATCTGCCACTGAACCAATTCAGAATTCTGGAACCCCGTCAAAGGAGCTACTAATAGGTCACAGGAGAAGGGATGAGACCACACAAAACTCTTTAGGTGCACTTTCAGAAAATGAGCTCTATTCAGCCAGTGGTATCAATCAGGAGGTTTCGTCATGGGATGTATTACTATGCAGTTGAATCCATTCTGTGCTGCTTCTTTGAAAAGAAATAAGCATGCCCTTTGGAAGTATGTGATCTTTGAGAATTAGGAGCAGACATCTGACCAAGTTGCAGGAGGCAAATTACATGAGCAACTCCACTGAGAGGACAAGATTCAGAAGGAATCTTCATATTACTTAATATTTGTATTTAAGAAGGAAAGTATAAGAAGAGCTAGTCTTAGGTATTTATTCCAGGTAGAAATGGACAGAACAAGCAAGATCATTAGATCCTCCTTTTTTGTGGCCTTGGGGGAGGGCCGGAAGAAGAGATTTCTGAGATTGCTGAGGAAAATACATGAAATCTAAAGTATCATAACATCTGCCTTTCTCTATAAAATGATTCCCAGTAGAATACACAATATCTTCATTAGATACTTATTACGCCAAGGCCGATGAAATCCCACAGTAGTTCCTGACAGCATATTAAAAAATAGCTTCTTTCTTAGAGAAAAAAGTGTGCTCAGTTTTAATCAATTTTAACAATGTGCACCATAAAAATCTTTGAATATCTTTGTCCCTCCTTGATAGTTCCCGGTGGAGCTTGCTCCAGATGGCTATGGGAGGGAGTGGAGTGGGAAGCATGGTTGGATGAATTCATACATTGCCATTTACAAGATACACATCGATTGCTGTTCATCATCTTATTTTTTTTTATAAGAAGTCAAATTCAAAAAATTTTCACTGAGAACTTAGCACTCTTATCACACTCTTCTAGGCACTGTGACCTATACAAAGATGGATAAGAAATGACCTGTACCCTTTTCTCACCATTTAATAGAGAGATAATATATACATAATTCTATGAGAAAGCTGACTGTGATATGTATTATAATAGGAGTAGAAATTAAGAACAAGAGCTGAGTAAAAAGATTCATTGCACTAGGAATCTGTGCTTATGTCTCTTTGCTAAATATGGAACACTTCATAATCTGGAGTTGTGTTTTACATCTTTGTTCCACCCACCTCCTCAGCACTTCCCCAGTGCCTTGTGTAGAGTAAGCTTTTCTAGATTGTTCATAAAGCTCTGTTGGTGAGTTCCTCAACTTTGATCGTTGTGATAAAAAATGAGTAGGTATTGAAACTATACTTTAGGAAATCATTCTGTTAGTAAGCAAGTAAAAACAAAATGCGTATTTCAAGTTTTACTCAAAATTTAGCTTAAAGATAATTTTATCCTGGGTCTACTTTAACGACCAGGAGCAGAACAAGGGTTGGCAATTTTTTCCTGTAATGGCCAAAGAGCAAATATCTTTACAGGCCACGCAGTCTCTGTTCAACTGTTCAACTCTGCCAGTGGAGCATGAAAGCAGCCATAGACAGTATGGGGCTGTGAATGAATGTAGCTGTGTTGTAAAAAACTTTACTTGCAAAACCAGAGAGTGGAAGACTGTGATCCATGGGTCATAGTTTGCCAGCCCTTGATCTAGAATGATGTGATTTGTTAGATGTATCTTGAAAGAGAACAATTGTGTTAAGAAAACTTAAATTCTATTTCTGTGATTGAAATTTATGAAGAAATAAATCAGTGAGAGATATATGGTGTTTCTATGTAATTACATCAAGAAATGGACCAGTGAAGAACAAACTTGCTTCTAGTGGACAGAGAGGTAGGGGCAAAAACAAACAAATGAGCCCAGTCAAGGATTAAAATTGGTGCCATGCCCATCTCAAGAACAGTAAAATCCAATGATTAAGAAAATTACTATGGGAGCACCTAGGTGGCTCAGTAGGTTAAGCATCTGACTTCAGCTCAGTTTATGATCTCACTGTTGTGGGTTTGAGCCCCACATCAGGCTCTGTGCTGACAGCTCAGAGCCTGGAGCCTGCTTTGGATTCTGCATCTCCCTCTCTCTCTTCCCTTCCCTGCTCACATTCTGTCTCCATCTCTTTCTCTCAAAAATAAATAAATATAAAAATTTTTCTAAAATAAACGGAAATTACAGGGCACCTGGGTGGCTCAGTCGATTAAACGTCCAACTTCGGCTTAGGTCACGATCTCACAGTTCATGGGTTTGAGCCCCGCGTAGGGCTCTGTGCTGACAGCTAGCTCAGAGCCTGGAGCCTGCTTCAGATTCTGTATTCCTCTCTCTCTCTGACCCTCCCCTGATCACACTGTCTGTCTGTCTGTCTGTCTGTCTGTCTCTCTCTCTCAGAAATAAAGAAAACATTTTTAAAAATTAAAAAACAAAAAAAAATCCCACAA